CGGCCAAGTCGATGAAGGCATACGACAGCTGCAGTTTGCTCGTAGGGCTTTCTGTGGCGGCGCACACCTCGAAGCCCAGATTGAGCGCGACTTGGCCACTGCGCTCTTCTACCGATTCCAGTTGTCACATCGCTCGGAGGATCTGGACGACGCTATCCACTACGCGTCATCCGCGCTCTCAAGGGCACCGGCGGATGACCAGCGTCGCGCTGCTCTTGGCCTCGAGCTAGGCCAGAACCTCGCCTTGCGTGCCTCCAATGGTGGTACCTCTCGAGATGCGGATGCAGCCGTACAGACTCTCCGCACAGTCGCTGAAAGCCGCGGTCGTGCCTCCATCCGTCTCACCGCTGCCATGGAGTGGGCGCAGGTCGCGTCCGCCCGTGGCCCGGAAGCCGCCGTAGAAGCGCTCGAGGTCGCGTTGGACATCCTCCCGCTCATCGCGTGGGCCGGGAATCGCATGGTCGTGCAGTACAAGACTCTGGTACAACTCTCCGCCGACGTCGGCCCTTGGGCGGCTGCGTGCGCTATCGCCTGTGGCCGTCTCGAGGACGCCGTCGCCTACCTGGAGCGCGGGAGGAACGTGCTCTGGTCACAGTCTCTGCAGCTGCGCCTCGGCAAGGATACTGGAAGCACCTCCACATCCCCTAAACCAGCCCCCAGCAAGGAGTTGGACGCCTTATCATCATATCTGGCAAAGAGCGCGGACGGTTTCCCTGAAGTAACTCCCGGAATGCGGGAAGATGCGGCGAAGCGGAATCCTGGGCTGGCCCAGACGGTGGAGAGGTTGCGTGCAGTATACGTGGGCATGCGGGAGAAAGCGATGGCGCACCCCGGCTACCGACCTGGAGACTTCGACAGGATCGACGCGCTGAAGTCCATGGTCCAATCGATCCAAGGTGACGCCTCTTTGCACAGCGCTGCCAACCGGTGGGGTTCCCTGCGCGCGACTTTCAATCAGCTCGGCGGCGAAAGTATTGGAATCAAATCCTGGGGCGACTTACGCCAACATGCTAGCCTCAAAAGTTTACTCGAGATTGGCCACGTCGTATTCCTGAACATCCACTGCACCCGATGCGACGCCATCATACTTAGTCGAACTCCAAGCGACGATGTCACGTTCGGGCACGTACCTCTTCCTGAGCTGTCTGTGGACGAGATTCGCGGATGGGCGGACGCGATCCAGGTTGGTCTGTACGACCTCCAGCAAGGCGGGATGGGTGTGCGCGATTTCGACGAAGTCATCATGATTCCAATCCTCCAGGGCTTGTGGCACTCTATGGCGGAACCCATACTTGCGCATATCATTCAAGACACCCAGAAACGTCCCCTTCGCATATGGTGGTGCCCGACAGGTGCACTTGCACTTCTACCTATCCACGCAGCGGGGCCGTACGGCGGGGACGCCACGGGCCTTCCTGAACTCGTCATATCTTCATACATTCCCACTTTGCACTCTCTTCTCTGCGCCCACGATAGTGCTCCAGAGCCGTTCTCCATGCTAGCTATCGGGCAGCCCGACACTCCTGGACAGAATCCTCTCCCCGCAGTTGACAAGGAAATAGCCACCATTCAGCGCGCCTGCGCGCGTGTCTCCCACGAGCCGACGAGTCTGGTCGGACCCGCTGCCACAGCGCACGCCGTCTCCTCCGCACTGCCCGCACACTCCTGGCTGCACTTCTCGTGCCACGCACATCAGGACCCCTCGTACGCGTTCGCGAGCGCGTTCTTCATGCACGACGGACCGCTCCGTCTCGGCGCGCTCATGCGACTCGACCTCTCGCGCACGCAGTTCGCGTTCCTCTCTGCGTGCCTGACGTCCGCAGGAGACGAGCGCCTCCCGGACGAGAGCATCCACCTCGCGGCGGGCCTGCAGTTCGCTGGGGTGCGCTCGGCGATCGCTACGCTTTGGACGGTGGATGACCGGACCGCGGCCTTCGTGGCGGATAGAGTGTATGAACATTTGCTGCGAGAGGGCGTCGAGGAGCCAGACCCTTTGGAGGCGGCGGAGGCGTTGCATAGGGCTGTGGGAGCGGTCAAGGCGGCAGGAAAACCAATGATTTTCTGGGTACCTTTCATTCATACAGGCAGATAGTAGATCGAGGCAGAAATTCCGGGATGAGTACATAGAGACAATACGATTATAACACACGCCTCGTCTTCTTGATCATGTCTGCAGCTTTCTCCGCCATCGCGACGATGACTGCGCACGGATGCCCCGAAAGCTGAGACGGGAATACCGAAGCGTCGACGATCCTGAGTCCGTCTATTCCGTGCACACGGAGCTCAGCGTCCACGACGCTCGTCTCTGGGAAAGAGCCCATACTGGCAGTGCACACCTAGTAGTTCGATTAGACGTGACAACGTGCGGGACCATCTGTTGATGTGACTGACGGGATGCTTAGCAGGCAGGGCATTATCGCGCAGCAGGTCTTCAAGCTCCTTATCGGTAACCTGTACGCGTTCAAACTTTTGTACACATTCTTCAACTTGGTTGAGTGAAGACACACCTTGTCCGGGTCGGCATCGCAAAGCCACCACGGCGAGCTCTTGTCTCCGGAATGGGGCCCGAACTCAAGCGCAGATGCCAGCGGCTCGGTACGCGCGAGGCGCATAAGGAGGCGTGTCGCACGAATCAATATGTTCAGGTCGTTTTCGGTCGCGAGGCAGCTGTCGTGTACTCAGAATGCATGCAGGGCCGTATTTGTAGCACGAAAAAGTACTTGGGATCAATTAAGGGCGCATCCCAAATGCTGCGCGACCTCAACGTGATGTTTCCCTTGCTCTCTGGGCGCAGCAACAAGGCAGCCTGTGAGACAGGAGATCAGTACCCGTGGATACCCCGCGACCGCGAGCGTATGCGGCGACCTACGAGAGTCACGCCATGGGTACCAGGCGGCGGTTTTGCGAATTTGTCGTCGAATACCGTCATGGGAAACCAGATCAGCTCCACATCAGGGGCGCCTGGCCTAGAGGTTTGATCTGTGACCGGGATCGGCTCTTCTCCCGTTCGACTGACGGGCAGACTGACGAGGATACAACAGTTCATACGCTTGTGATCCCTGCGAAACAGGTATAGGCGTACCTGGGGTCCGTCGAGCGCACGAATGCAGCAGAGGGCCAACCCATGGACGATAGTGGGCCAGTGCCGAAAGCGTACCACTTCAAAAGCGCTAGAAAGCCGGAAAACCTGTTGGTGATATAGTCATAGGTGAACCCTGGCTTCGCGCGGAAGGGAAGCGGTCCAGTCGAGACATGCTAGAGAATGACGTCAAACGATGTGAGTTTTGTGAGGTGGCTTGGCTTACATCCACGAGGTTTCGCCCCACTGATGGAAGCGCATGTACAAGAGGAATGTCGTGCTTCGCGAGCTCTTCGACAGGACCGATCCCAGACAACATGAGCATCTGAGGAGTCCCAACCACTCCCGCGCATAAGATGATCTCGCGCGAGGCGGCGACATGATACCGAGGCGATGTAGGACCTACGGAGACCACAACCCCGGTCGCACGGATTGTTGGCCCCGATTCGTCGAATACGACCTTCTCCGCCATGATATTGGTGGCGATAGTCAAGTTCGGTCTGGATACGACTTCGTTGGTGAGATATGCCGTTGCTGCAGAATCCCCTGGGGAGAGCATGCATGTCAGTAACCATGACGGGGTATGCGATTCGTATCGGAGACGCTAGTACTCTGTCCCTTTGAGTTGATATTGCCGGTGAGATGGGTCACGCCCATAGTGCCTTTTGGGGTGTTGATGTCTCTGAAAGATCCCGACAACGTGACTCAGTATTTTGGACGTTCGCGCGGGCGGAGCGAACGTACTCAGTATGTGGTATTCCCAAATTTTTGCATGCTTCGATGGCGTAACCGTCAATGGGCTGTGATCCTGGTTAATCAACGCAGCATGAACCTCTCGTGTTCAAAAACTTACTGCAACTTCCGACGGATGTCTGGTCTGCCAGGCACCGTCCAATCCACGAGAAGAGAGATCCGTTCTAGCGATCTTTGTGTTAGGAGTATGCTTCTCAGACTTCTTGAAGTAGCTATGGATGTGGTCGTTAATGTAGAGCCACCATCAAAGCCCCATCGAGACGTACGGGAGTAGGTCAGCATACGACCACCCCGTTGCACCAAGTGACACCCATTCATCGAAGTCTGAAAAGAAGAAGCCCATCAGCGTTGGGAAACTTTCCCAAGGATTCAACGTACCCTCGGGGGAGCAGTGGTGGTAGATCAGCGCATTAGTAGCGCTGATTATTCATGTCGGTCGACGAAACCTTGCAAGTAGGACTGGTGACATACCTGGTACCTCCTAGTATTTTGCCACGGGGAAAGTACGTCTCGCGACCATGCAAATTTGTCTGAGCTCTATTGAGGATATCAATTAGCATGAATCAGGCAGGTTAAAAAGCCCTTCACCGACGTCGTATAGAGGTTCCAGTCAGTGGGCGTCCTGAAAATCTTGGAGAACCCAAATGGAATCCTGGTGGGCACGTCGCTCAAGTGGCTACAGACGTGTCGAAAATATCTTCGTCAGAGAGTGAGTAGCGTGGTCTTGCAGATACGCACCTCTTTCCTGCCTCGAGCAGTAAAACCGTTGCATTTCGGTCTTCTGACAATCTCGCAGCGAGGACGCAGCCAGCGGAACCTGTGCGTCAACTGAGAAAAGCTGTATACACTCTGAGTGGGTCACAACATTACCTCCTCCAACCACAATGTATTCGTATGTCGTCCAGGACGCCGGATCATCGGTAACATCGACAGATGCGAACTGAAGAGGGTCCGCGCTCGTAATGTGAGTAGACTGATTCGCACCCATCTAGGTAGAGGGGGAGGAGGGCGTTGGGGGTAAGAACTCCTGCGCTACGCCCACTTTTTAAAGCCCCAGGGAAGAAGCAGTAGGGCGGCCAGCGCCGGGTACCTGCGACGCGGGTAACATGATGCCACCTGGTTGTAGTAGAGCGCCCATGCTGCAGTCGGCTTGGTCCAGAAGTTGCGGCAGCGAATGAACAGTCTCTCCAAGGCGGGCGCGGGTTTTCCAGGTGTATATATGAGCCTTTATAAAGTACGGATGTTACAATCAGAACGAGATCTGTGGGTCCTTGTGAGTTTTGTGAGTCTGAACAGCGCGCCGGTTGCCAGAACGTTGAACCTGGGAACGTAGTACACACCCTAGTGCGCGCTCATGGTGATGTGAGACCCCTTATCTCTCATATATCAATCCTTTCTACCGTTCTTGAGTCTTGGTGACCACAGGGACTGGAGGGGCCAGGATGAGTGAGGGTGAGTGTTGTGAACACACACTCGAAAAGCGAGGGCGTCTCCCGAGACCCCCGGAGACGCCCAGCCCCTTTCCGCGGGCGCTCCTGGAAGGGCGGACTCAGCACCCTCTCTCAACTCGTCTTCTCAGTGACGGTCCTGGCTCACTTACTCAAGCTATGGTCGTGCGCTACTTGCCTAACCTCTGACTTCCTAGCAGTAACTCTTCTGTGCACCGCACTAGGCTTCCCGGAGCAGGGCTGCAACGGCTCGAAATTCAAGGCCCAGTACCCGATCAGCTGGCAGCACATCTTAGAAGGCGTGCCACACAACCGCGATGTGTCCTGAGCGGTACACGAGCTAGACATGGAAGACAGCTACATCCTGATCACTCCCCTTCTCCACGCTATCCCCGCGGGCGGCCTCAGGTGCGGTGCCCGCCTCCGCACGCTGAGTCTTGATATCGTCGACGTACACCACCTCTTCGTCCCCATAGTTGGTCTCCTTCACCGTACGCAGTACGAGCCAAGCCAGCGGGAACGACACGAGCATCAGGATCCATGATGCGAGCTGCTCGTTAAGGAATGGGGTCGACACCGCGTCCATCCCAAAAGATCCCGCCTCGCCGGCGGACTGCAGTGCCTTGTAGAGCCCGGCGTAGCGCGCGAGCGTGAACGGGTCGTTCGAGAGCGCGGACATGATCCAGTATGCGAGCGCCTGATAGCACGCGTCTGAGAAGAAGTCTATGAAGGTGAACAGTTAGCCCGAGCGCGGAGCGCGGAGACAGATAATTGTGCCGAACGTACAGAAGAAGTAGAGTGCACCTTTCCCTTTGTAATCAGCGTCGTGGTAGCTGATGCGGTTTGCGTCGCTCAGGTCTGCGCGGGTGAAGGTGACCTGCCATGCGAGGCCGACCGACCAGACAACAATGACTATGACGGTCACGGTGGCGAGGCCGAGGTATCCGCGAGTGCGTCGGTGGAACCACTTGAGGTCGAGGCAAAAGTAGCCTATCAGGAGCGCGCCCACGATAGCACCTGCGCCCTCCAAGGTCGCGTTGAGAGCGCGTGTCGCGCCGTCGAAACGCGCGGTGTTGACTGCGCTCTGGTAGGCGTAGAAGTAGTTGGAGGCGAAAAACATCGGCACAAGCGCTGTAGTATAATCGCATGAGCATGTAGTCGCACAGGAGGGCAGAGTGCATACCGATCATGCGCCAGTCCTTGAAGAGACGAAGCATACCTACCACCTCCTCATGCGGCTTGGAGAAGGCCTCGAGTTTCACGATAGTGCCGTCGGATCGTATGACTTTATTGGGAGGTAGCACAAGGAACGAAGAGGCGACGCCGATGAAGATGATGATTAGGAAGGCCTACCGAGTCGCATAAGTCTCCGGAACAATACTCCACGTGCCAGGATACTTACTATGTATGTCGACGTCGATACCGCAGATAGCTTTCCGCTCTCAATGTTGATGGCAAGGGCGATGATTGAGCCGATGAACGAGCCGAACTGGAAGATAGCCCAAAAGATGGCGAACGCCTTCCCCTTGTCCTTCTCCAGCGGGTACGACATCATGATGGAGCCTTGTGCTGACCATAGAAGGGCAGCTGAGATGCCCTCAATCGCGCCTGCGAAGATCACGAACCATCCCGTGCCACGCGTCTGGTAGCTGCGTAATCCGAATAAGCTACGGTGCTGCGAGCTAGAAGTAGGTGACTTACCACCAGAGTGACCCGACATAAACGGCATATCCGAGTGTTCCGAGGAACAGCGTGAGCCGCGGACCAAGCACTATGCGCAGTAGTAGGACGTTAGAACAGAAAGCCGTATGTTGCGGAAGCTTGGCGTACAGTTGTTGATACCGCCACTTATGAGGCCGGTGACGGCGAAGAGACCGTAGAGGACGCCTTGAGAGGTATCCGACAAAGTGATGTCGCTGAGACCTCCTGCGCCAAGGTTCGAGACGGCACTGAACATGCCCACCGTGGCAAAGCTTCGGGGTGTAATGTGTGTTTCCGTCAGATACGGGCGAAGGGAAGACATGGCGGTGAACTCACCAGGTGAAGCCGACCACCACTACTTGCGCCATGGGCGACCTGCGCATAACGGGAGCCTCAGAGGGACATTAGCTAGTAGTGTGCAAAGAGTCACGCACGTATACCAGGCGGGGACCTTGAGATTGAACATGGTGTCCCGAAAAGAGCGGTTCAAATTGTCGACGATGGTGCAGACAGCACCTTGCGCGATGAGGAGTCGGCAAGAGACAACAGCCTGAGAGTCGTGCAACGCAGAGGGTGTGCTGTTATAGTGTCTGATGTAATAGCGATAAGTGATTCATACACGACGACGCCGGGATCATGTCCATGCGGTACTCTGACAGTTCTTCTGCAGCCGCTGGGCTGACGCTCTGGTATCGCTCTCATCCGGCGTCCTGCTGAACGCTATTTACGTTCACATGAGCACCTCCCGCATGGTAGGCACTCTTCACGTTCTCCCGCGACGTAAGTCTCCTAGTTTTCATACGGAGACCAGTCAGGAGATACTACTTCTCGTGGTGATAGAAGACGTACCGGGGCCGGAAAGTTGTACAGGGAATCCGCCTATGATAACGAACGTACCGCACCATACTGTCGAGCACGAGCTGAACCGACGTTGTGCAACAGCCAGAACTCGCGTGTGACATAGTAGGTGCTGAGTGTCCAGAGTGTGAGTAGAGAATTCCGATGCGACTTTAAAGAAGAATAGATGTGCTGCAGCATGGCGCAGTGCACGAGTGACTCGGATGGGGCCTCGCAGCAGATCCAGAGCCCGAGTGGAGATTATGCAGAGATTTGGTATAGAAGCACGAGAAACGTGTCGAGCCGGTGGCAGTTGAAGACAGGCAACCCGGGACCAGCTGGCTCCCATGTGGTCTAGAGCAAGTGTCAGTCACGTCAAATCGTTCATATAAAGAGAGAGAAACATACTTGTATGAGTGCAAGCGGTGGCACCGGGCGTCGCGGTCGTATGGAGCCGCACGGCGCGTGATGTATTGAGTCTTATGAGTAGCAAAAGCGGCGGCTATGCCGATATGATCTCTGAGGGAACGCGGGTTCCGAGCAGCTACACAGTTATGACAAATACGGTTCGAAGCGCACCAAAGAGGGTCCTTCGTCTTTCCAACACTCGCTAGAATGCATGCCACCGGGCCGACACACCGCGGTCATCGTTCCGTCAAGCATATATCTGGGCATTCGTCTTGTCGCTCTCGGATTCTCCGAGAGCGCTGCGCGCGCCTCTCTCTGTCTGCAGGTTTTCCGTGAGGGCAAGTACGACCGGGACCTATTATGACCATGCAACATTGTCAGCGGTGAACCGGCTTGTATCAAGTACACTCTGGTCGAACCTACCTCAGAAGCTTCGTCGAGTCCCGGACCTGCGGTGCGATGCGGGAAGTCGACCCTGGCATGTACGCCGATGGTGTGCATCTCGCCAGAGATTTCATACATGCGGGCAGCCAGGGAGCGGCGCGAGTTTAGGCTGTATGCATCCATTCGAGGTTAGACTCGAGGCAGCGGCTCCCAGAGATGCGGGACCGCAGGCTTACACGGCGAATACCATATTGCTATATACTGTGATCGTAGTCAGATATACAGCGAACAGATGGGCTATTGGGGGGCGAGTAACGTACGTCTTTGGCTTATGAAGCTGAACGCGACTCCCACGTATTCTTTAGGCCATGCGACGGCCTGCAGGGGATGTTGATCGCGTACCCTATACGTGTAGCAAAGAAGAAACTCACGAAGATGAGGACTACAATTCCGACGACGCTGCGACGCGATCTTCGGAGTTAGAAGCCGAATGTGGTCGGTCTCGGATCCATGGTGTACCGCACCTAGTCACAAGTTCTGCATTATAACGAGCTATCATTAGAAGTGTCGTGATTGTGTCCTGGAGGACGTCTCACCTGTGTTGATAGAGTACACGATCAGGGCTTTCACGGCGCTGTCTGTTCTACACAGGTAATGAGCAGGCGTTAATAATCCCGTAGAAAAAACTGTCAGCTCACTGTTTGAAGCCAGTGCGGCTTTGTAGTAGGATGAACGCCATCGTGCCCGTTATGAGAAGGTCGCCGGCGAACGCGCATCCATATGCCGCAGAAATCATCCACTAAAGTGTTCATAACGTCAGTATTATGGGACGCGAACGAAACACAAATAGTCTTACACTGTTGGTCACCGAGATGAGGATGGAGGACGAGCCGAACCTAGTCAAATAAACCCGCAGTGAGCATATGCTAGTTGTTTTCAGGCATGAAGATGCAGGTGAAGATGCAAGTCAACTGACGCTTCGATCGCAATAGCTGTGTAACAAGCCGCATGAGCTGGAACCCACCGTATGGGTGCAGTATACTGTTCTCTCACCTATACAGAAGCCTTGATGAGTGGATGAAGCCAAGTCAGATACAAGGCCAGCGCGTATATATATTTTAGAGATCTAATAGACTGACCTAACTGGGCGAGGGCCAATCCAACCTGATTGAGGGCCATATGTCAGAATGATTCATTTCGGTCAATGTTTGATAGCACAGGTGACCAACTGCAAGTGGAAATATAACCGCCCTGAAGGCGAAGTTGCGGCAGTGACGAGATCCGACTGTAGCCTCCATGAGTGGCACAGATAGACGTCCAGTGGAGCGAAAGTACTGACAGCAATATATACGCGAGGCATAGAAGCTACATAAAGTGAGCTTCACATATCCTAAGGAGATGAGTTTGAACCGACGTACCATTGGCAAAGTAAGGTAGTGACTCCCTAAAATGAAGGTTACCATCATCGGATGCCATCTCGACACGTTGCCTCGTATGTATACGGCACGACGCGCACCGTTGTCAATATGATAATCTGCAAGGTGCGGGCCACGAATCAGGGGCAGTGAAGTATTGCCGTCACACAAACGATGTCATACCTTGAGGGAACTGAGTGTGAGAGTGTAAAATTGTGTCAGAGATCTAGCATACGTGTCGAGCATAAGTAACTGGCTCACACGCGGTATTCAAGAAGGTGCGCAGCGTTTCCATGGCCGGTGATTAGGTAGTAATAGCTGGAGCAAACAGACGGGTGAGCAAGTAGTCGAGACCCGAATGCTACCCTCTCACTAGGTATCTGCCGTCAGGGCTGTATGTACAGTCTCTAGGACACTTCATAGATCTTGTGAGTCAACGTGATCAAATACGAAGGGGTTTTCTAGGTACTCACAAGAGCGACGGTACCTGTTAGGGACATGGCACGCGGTTAATTCGAGTGGAATACTTCACTCTGGCGATCTCGTTTCATTCATAGAACACTCACAAGAACTCTGTACCAATGGATATCCTGGGGATACAGCTTGTAGTACTTTTGAACCTGATGCAAGGTTACACCATAGAGCCTGCGACCGGCGGTGGATTAGATCTTGGGAGACAAGTAGTGTAAGAGAGTACAGGGCGCACACCGTAGCAACCATAGTCCCTATGAACAGGACACCGAGGGTTTCGTTCATATTTGCGAGCGAGAGCGGCATGAGAGTTGACTCTGTATCCATGTCGGCGGTGCGAGGGGTGAGACGGGTGGGTGTACGATATCGGTCGCAACGCCTACCGCGGCGAGGAGTCTTATGAGATGGAGCAAAGCTGAGCGACGAGCATAAGGAGCAAATACGCAAACCGCTTGTGCCTGAACAGCTTGATATCCGAAGCGGTGGTGTCGCTGTCATCGAAAACACTGTGCCCAGGACAGAGTGGTGGAACTGATACGGTTTGCCGTGCTTCGGCACGGTGCTCATCTACATCGAGTGATTACGCATTTGCAATGATTCTGGTCAAGAGAACCAGTACTGAAAGTTAGGTGAGAGAAGGCTCAAAGCTGAGGCATACACATACGTCGTCAATGAGGGAAGGAGTTCCATCGACTTGAACAGGTTTGCCAGGGAAAGCCATCTCAGGCAGCGTTACTAAGCTGGTGGCATGGTCACTGTCGCTGTGAGCTTTTCAGAAAGCGGTGTGTTTCTTGATCCCTTGATGTATATAAGCAGTGCGTCTGGAGACATGAGGCGAAGGAACGCGCCGGTAGAGCAGGCTGACAGTCGGAACGAAGTCGAGGCGGCTGCCAGTGCTCAGCGCTCAGCGCTCATCCTGCCGAAGAAGGAACATTAACGCCCATTTCAACAAAGCCGGCATCCCGGCATCCTGCTCGATACTTGAAACTCAGCTGAACTCATTCGAGAAACTTGCTTACTCCGCTTATGGGCTCGTCGTAGTGGGTCTAGCTCGACTATCATCTTGGCCGTCGCGTACGTTCAAGTTCATTCCCGGTGTGTGAGGACAAGCTGAGCTTTTCCGTGATTCTTCACAGCTGTTTTAAAATAGATAAGCCCCCGTCGTTGAATCTACATAGAGCTTTTCACTCCCAGATGTAGCGGAGACCCGTCGCGTGAGGCTGTTCGCAGAGGACCAGCGCCGCGAGGAGGTACACGGATGCAGGCGTGTCCATCCGCGTCCTCGCCGCGTCGCCGCCCGATAGAACTGTGAGTGATTTAGTCATTACGGGCTTATCAAATTGAAAACGGATGTGATAGGCTGCATATCACGCAGCACCCAAAGGTGTATCATGATATGATGATAGCAAGTAACCGTTCAATAGACTCGCCTTTGGCAGATTCAAAGATGAGAAGGCACGCAGGGGCATTGGAAGGACAGATGCGCGGATTTTTGCACTCGGGTGTGAATAACCTCCGGAGTCCGACGAGGCCGTCCACTGATCCTTCGAACATCGATGCAACAGTGTAGTCCAATAGTACTGTACAGATGAGATTACTGCACATGCTCTCGAGCTACAGATGTACCGCGGCATCCGGGGGTCCTGGCAAGATTTCCGGCAGCCTCGGCCGAACTTGAACATATCCCTTCAGGTCCCACGACAACACACCTACTAGCTAAGTTGTCTCTATACCTCTTGCTTGAGCACTAGTGCTCTTATCATTCCCGTCTTATAGACACCGCTCGCTTCTGTATAGTTAATACGCGCGCGTTTGAAGGCGATAGTCGCTCACACTCGCGATGCTCGTCGTGAGCGAGACACGGCGACACAGGTTATAGCCGCATTTATGCGGTTAGAAAAGCGAAAGTGCGCCTGCGCACATCACCCCGGGGCGAGTTCGTTCTGCTTCCCAGAGTACATCGAAGAACGTCGAACGTCGAAACCTCGTTGCAACGTAGACGTCAGACCGGCGAGTTTGAAGAGCCGCCATTCACCGTTGATCCGCCTTTGAAAACCCTCCGACGAACTTGATCCCGGTTTCTTGATGAGACACCACGGCGCCCGCCTCACGTCCGTCGCTCGGCGGCTGGCGATATCCTCAATCTGCTATTCGATATTGCCACATCTGCACGATTTTTACTGACCAACTTTACGCTTTCGACATCGACGCGGATACTCTCCGCTGCGTAATTACTCACTCTTTGCAGGTATCTCGCGATATGGTAGGTCCCCGCAAGTTGCGCACTTCCAAACGTCCGGATCAGGCAAGGCTATCTGTCCGAGGTCTACCTCACGTACTTCAATGCAGTTCTGACGCGCGCTCACAACTCCCGTTCGCATGCTCTTTTAAATCTGGAGACTGCGGGCACTGTACGCGCGACCCGTACGTGCACTCCCCTTGTGCGCTGCGAAGACAGATATAGTGAGTGATAGGAATCCGACGTCTGCCCGACGCGGCTCATGCATATACCATCCTGTGTGGGCGCAGCATTACACGATACGGGACGTATAACGCGGCGTTATTGTCATTCGAGCGTGTACACGACGCCCTCTCACGGCAAGGCAGCGCGGCCGCACGCATCCGGCAGAACGTGAGATTTTCCCTCCGCGTCCTGGAGCTGGCGTTGTAGGTCCGTAGGGCAGCAGGCGGGGGGAAGGCACACAACGAAGGGTTGACTTTGATTTGGCAATAAACAGTACTTGGTACATTAGATACATACATACACTCAGCCCAACACACGCTCTCTACGCTCTTGTTACACCGAGTAGTACAAGTGTATACCACTGGCAACTGACCGGCAGTCGTCCGAAACTCAAGATACACGGCCGAGGGTCGCCACATCAGGCCTAGGTTTGGATCTTCATATTCTAAGCGTCGCCAGGTACGCCACGGACCTCTCTGTTTGTCCGCCGGTCGTTTGTAAGAGCAAGAACGACCGGAACCTATAACAACCGCAAGGCCAACATTCGAAGTCGATCAACAGTCAAATAGTTTGTGTGAGGCAAGCGCAACGAAACGCACCTGCGCGGCTTCACCGGACCTAGCTGCGGCACATCGCAGGGATTGCTCCCCACCCTGGACACCGAGTGTCTGCATCTCGTAAGAGGTTCCATACATGAGCGAAGCCAAGGAACGGCGAGAGTTCAGGCTGTACATGATCGTCCGGATTAGTCACGACGTGAGTGCGCCGACGGCGAGAGATTAAAGTGTAGCCTTACACGGACAAGACCATGTTACAATATACTGCAACAATTGTCAGATGTTGTGCGAGCCGCAATGGTCCGGAATGAGGGTAGTGACGCACATCTCTGGCTGATGAAGCTCGTGGACACTCCCGCGTATTTCTTGGGCCATGCGGCTGACTGGAAGAGTCGTCAGTTGCGTATCTGTCGGATCTAGCGGAGGGGAAACATGCAGTAATGAGCACTATGATCCCGACGACGCTATATAGAGAGGAAAGGCATCAGAACGGAAATGTATCAAAATCGTCAGCACGATAGCGCACCTAATCACAAGTCCTGTAGATCGTTAACATGCCACCATTAGACCTGTCATGGTATCGATCTGGAGAATACGATACCCGTATTGACAGAGTACAAGATCAGCGCTTTCACCGTGTTATCAGTCCTTGGTGAGCTGTAAGCCCGTAGTGTGAGGAAACGCGCAAATAACGGACGACTCACTTGCTAAACCCGGTGCGGCTTCGTAGTAGAATATAAATCATGGTCGCTGTTATGAGGGTGTCTACGGCAACTGCACTTCCATACGTTGCAGAAATCATCCACTGCAGTGTTCAGGTCGTCAGTGTCATGGTCCGCAAACGGAGCGGTATGTGTCTTACGCTATGAGTAACCGAGATGAGAATAGAAGACGAGCTGAACCTGGTCGCATAGATAGCGAGTGAGCCGACATACGATGACTTCCTGAAGTTGATCGCATGCGTTTGGAGACACTCACGCTTCGGCCGCAAGACCTGCATAATGTCATGTTGCCATGAATCAGAAACTCTGCGTAGAAATCAGTGTATCATATTAGCTCACCTAGAGCGAACCCTTCACAGGAGAGCAACCAAGCCAAAAATGTCAGATCCCCAACTGACGTTGGACGCTTCAGACTGACCTGTTTCCGCGAGGGCGAACAAGACCTGTTCAGGAACGCGCATGAGTTATATATATTGCCCTTACAGAGCGACCCGACGCCCGAAACACACCGTAAGTGGGAATATGACCGAGGTAAACGCGAAATGGCGGAAATGGCGGGATCCAACTTAAGGCGCAGTGTATCAGTGTAAAATATAGTAACTAATGTGGACGATACTTACATAGATATATGCGCGAGGCATAGAAACTGTATATTTTCTTAGTGGTGTGACTTTTGATGAATGGAAATAGTCGACGAACGCTTGGCAAAGTAGCATGGAGGCACCCTGGGAAGGTTCGTATCAGTCAATGTTGTCTCGTGGTAAAGTTTCAACATGATGAGTTACACGTACTATTACAAATATACTGAGCTGCAAGAAGCAGGGTGCGAGTCATACAACTGTACATAGTCATTGGACGATATGCAACATACCTTGAGGGATCTATGTGACACAGTGTGTCAGAGATCTCGTATCAAGAGGGCTCAACCTCAGCTTACAGGCGGTAATGGAGAATATTCGTGACGCTTCCATGGCTGGTTACGAGGTAATAGTAGCTGGAACAATGCGGTGAACGTTCAGAGAGAATATCTGAATATTTAAAATTGCGACGCACTAGCTATCCGCATTTAGGATTGTATGAGCTGTTTCAAGAACGCTGTAGGACGCCATGAGTGAATGTGGCCGGAGTAGATAGCTATAAACGCACAGGAGAGACGGCACCTGGCAAGACACGCCATTAGCTCCGGCAAGAGTGAGAATATATGCACCGATACACGCAATCGATGCACTAGTAGAGCTCACCAGGACTCTGTACCACCAAAAATCCCGAGGGTATAGGGTGTAATAGCGATGAACCTGGTGCAATGTTACACCGTACAGCCTGCGGAACCGCGCGGATTAGAGCCACTGAGAATGGAGGTGTCAAACGGGAGAGTACGTACACTGCCGCCATCATGATCCCTACGTATAAGAGACCAATAGTATCGTTGATATCCGGAGTAGAGGGCGAGGGCGAATGTATACTGCTTGACGTCTGATTCATGTCAATGGTGTCGGTGAGAGCAAGCGAGATACGAGTGGGGAGGCGATGTCGGCCACAGCAATACTTCCGGACGTCGTATTCTAGCCTGGAACGGGATACAAGGACTCGGATGAGATACAAAGATACCCACCGCACCGCCAATATATATGTGGTGCAGGTTAAGATCCGTGAGGGCGAGAAGCCTTCAAGTTCTGTCAGAGGGCAACAGAGAACAGACACTCGGCGCTCAGCGTTCATCTACATCATTCTCAAATTCAGAAAGGATCCTTATGAAGAAGAGATGTTATTGGTACCCACAAAATGGAAAGTTCACCGGTCACTATCATGTCCCCCACTGTGGGCGGCACGGTGGTCGGTGACGTACATGGCGACTGCTTGGACCCCCGTCGCACCAGGTTGGGGGTGGTCTACGCGATGTATCATGGTGAGACCAGGACTCCAGAGCAACAATGTGGTGCGATTGGCGGTATAGAATAAACACGGAGCTGCGTGTGAGGTCGCGTACAGAGACTCGAGCGCAAGATCGGTGAGTGCTCCGGAAGAGTAGTGTAAGTAAATAGACGCGCATCACGCTCTATTCCTGGTTCATCACCATGTAAGATACATCAACCTTAGCCCACTTGGGCAGCGTTATTGACTTCGACTACTCCACTTGTTGATGTTCATATCAATCCTCACTAGTGCGACAGGCGACAGCCATTCCTACCTTTTCGTGGCTGACGAAGACAGATAGCAAGCTCGAGCCGGTGGCGGAATCCGATTCAGGTCTGTCACTCCTGCGCTGACATCGACCCTCGAAGGTACGGTAGAACATCATGAGACTGAGTGAGTGAGGAGAACTACTCAGGCTACTAATAAACGCGCGCATCGCAGACGTCGACTCCTCTCAACCCAACCCATCATGATTCATGATATCGATATCTCCCCTGCGCACACTTGATATTTCCCACTGCTATATCTCTTGATGTGTATCTGATATCCAGATCCCAGCTACTACCTCTGCTCCACGCTCTGTTCGCACAGATGCCTCGGCTGCGCATCCTCGAGCTAAAGCTTGCTCAATCTAAGGGAGTTCTGCTCCATCCCATCTGGCCCGTAGGCTATCCATCGGCGTTCCCATGGCCGGAATTTCAGGAGCTCACCGTATCCTTCTCAGTCAACGACGGCCGCCTCTATTAATACCTGCCCGCCACACTGCGAACACTGGCGCTGCAACCAATGCTTCCCTCACAAGACGGCGGAGTAGCTCCCACGTGAACGCGAGGGTCTGTCATGGCCGCTCCAGTCCTCGGATCTGGTACGCATCTTGTGCCAGTGTAATCCGCACCTTCTCCGTGTTCTCGAGCTGGAGTATCGTGAGGACAGTGGAAACCATGACCTGTGCTCCTCCTTCCTCGCACTCAGACCGCTGAAGATGCGGAGGTATCGTTGCGCAGGCGTCGGGATTGCCGATGCACAGGTGGTGCGTGCTCTCTTTGAATGGTGATCACCCATGTTTTTGACTGTATGGTGCAGGAGCATATTGCGCACGCGTTCGGGGGTCTCCCGCAGCTTCCCGACTCTCCTTGTTTCTAGACAATGTATAACCCCCGGGTGTCACACTTTCGACGCATCTGAGGCACGGAGGCCTCTGTTATAGCGAGGAGAGAGTTAAGGGGGAGGAGGACCTGCACAAGTCTCAGCGGACGTTCGATAAAGTCGCAGACGCCGTTGCGGGCGAACTCGGCACGGCGATGGTAAAGATGTTCGAGCTGCTGCATCCCCCAACATACATCCGCGCTGCTGGGTGATTGTAGGTATACCGCATCGAGCGAGCAGAACGACTACAGCGCGCAGTGCGCCTCAGCCGGTGCGTATTGCATGCCGCCCGTTGTTGTGTTTTCGTCTCTGACGGCTTGTTGCAGCGGCTCGAGAGCTACAATGCGCCGCACTCTGCAATTGCTCCCAACACGACTCCGGCAACTCAGTCGAATGCCGTCGCGTCAGTTTCGCGCCCTTTGGTCGGCGGTCATCGATATCCCCAACTGTCTTGTCCATACACCACCGCCCTCCACAAGCCCCTCGTCCCACCATGGCTATCTACATGTATTCGGCCGCTTGCGACCATATGATGCATTCACGCAGGTACTCATCTACAAGCTCAATTGAGAGCCAAGAGGTGCGAAGGCTGCCTATACCGTCGACACGAATCTGAACGTCTTTGTATCCTGCCCATGAGCGTCCGAGTGGGACCGGCCACTCAGCGAGTACCCGAGTCTAGGCTCCCGAGTGCCATGTCTATAGTCCGAGTCGTCAGGCAGCATGATAGGCACCTGTATCGATCGTGTGTTAGGGGCGCGACAGGAAATCAGCATCTAGAACAGAGAGTAGCGCATGCGTGACGTGCCTGGGACGGGTTAGGATCTGCCCCATGATTTGGGTGAGTTCTTCGACTCCGTGTGCGCGTGCTGATGGCCTCTGCCTCCGTCGGCTTTTCGAACATGCTGGAGGCGAGAGAGCGACGCGAATTCAACCTAATCGTACGCATCAGCCGTGCTCAACGTGCATGTTATCCCGGACCAAATAGTCTTACACTGCAAGTACCGCGTTGGCGTACACTGCGAGCGGCTGTATCAGTTCAAGGGATCCATAGCTCGGCTTCGGGGAACGTACGCTTATTGCTGACGAACCCTACCCCCGCCCATATCAGGTTGTTCGGTTGTACCAGCGCCTGCAAAAGTCGCGATGAGCTCAGTGGATTTAGATGATCCGTGAAGATATGTATATCTGACCAGGATGAAAACGATAACTCCAACAGTGCTATGTCCAATTCATGAGCAATCTCCGGGATGCCCGAAAGCAATTTGGGCACTGACCTGGTCAATAGGCCTGCATCGGTGTTTAGGTGAGTGACGCCGCGGCAGCCGAACAGGCGCGAGAACATACCTGTATTGGTCGTGTACAAAGCGAGTGTCTCAACGATGCTGTCTGTCCTGAGATGCTATAGTGAGCTCTCGGGACGACCTCGACCTGAAAAATAGGCTCACCGCTTAAAGCCGGTGCGGCTATGGAGCAAGATATAAATGAGCGTGCCCGTCAGGAGGGCGTCGGCGACGAATGTGCAGCCGTAGGAGGCGGAGACCATCCACTGCGCGACCCGTGTAGTCAGTATGCGACTCATATACTAGGGCAGCGGAATCGCTGAGCGGAACACTGAAGCTTACGCTGTACTTCTCGATCGTTATGATCAACGGCGAGCTAAATCTAGTCATGTCTGGGCTCGTCATCACGGTTCTGGGAGCGGCGTAGCAACGAAGGCACGCACACCTCTACAGTGGCAGCTGAGATTGGCTACTGTCAGTTGGGCCGATAAGACCGATGGTTCGGGCGACAGCTTACCCACACAAAATCCTGGATGCCGGAGAAGGAAGTCAGCCGCGGTCTCATGAGGTCGTGTTCCCGACGTCGACGTACCCATTTTTGCCATACTAAACAAAGCCTATACAATGATGATCACGTTAGGAATTGGGCTGACAAAGAGAACCCTGTTATGGCGACCTACCGCGATCACAACGCTCATACGATGGTGCGACCCAACTGTCAGTGAACCGTCTTGCCGTCAGCAGCGGCTTCATGCAGTACAACTGCAGCCGAAGATTGAACTAACAGAGATACACCCGACGAGCATAGAAGCTAAGTGCCAATCAGCTGGATTGAACGGATACCTGATCATCCCTGGAGACGAACCTATGGCAAAGCAACGTAGTCACAGCCTGAAGAGGAGTTCTCGGGTCAATTTACGACTGTGCAAGTTCAGGAAGATGAACGTACCGTGATAGGGATGACGAGCTGCGCGAAAAGCACGTCAGTAGCAGTCAATACCGCAATGCATGGCTCGTAAGAAGGCGGATCATACCTTCAGTGGACTAGGAATGTCTGGAATCAGGTACAGAGGCGTCAAAGAAGGTACAATGTGCTCACGGGTGGAAACCTAGGATACTCGACGGATTCGCCTGGTTGGCCACGAGGTAGTAGTAGCTAATGCGGCAGAAGAACGAGCGCGTCAGACTCGGAGAGACCATAGCATATGGCCATGCTTACATAGATTCGAGAATGCAGACTGTATGCACAGTCTCCAGGATGCTGGTGCGGGCGTAAGTGTCTACGAGCGCAACGCCGCGGAGGTAACGCGCAAACCATACAATAGAGTTGGGACCTGCAGACACGCCCCCGTTGTCAGGGGCTAGACGACGATGCTGTAATGAAGCAAGAGCGCTCACCATAATACGAAACAAAGGAGTGTCCACGGGATATAGTTCATAGTACCGCGAAATCTGGTTGAGAGTGAGGCCGTAAAGGCTGGAAAGAGTATCGACTTAGTACGTGCGATAGTTGGTGAACTGTTTCCCCTTGCACTGACATTGTAGAGATGAATGCGCCGATGAGCATGGCGCCCAGGGTATCATCGAGCGCCGGAGGCATGCCAGCCGGGAGCGCCATGACCGAGGAGACGTTGGTCGAGAGGACCGCAGCCATGGGGAGTTTGGGGAACAGGAACCCGGCGGGAGGTACTTATAACGCATCCCACGAGGGCGTTTCCGGGAGGGAACAAGGCTTGCCGGCAGAAGAGAAGGCGTGGTCGTGCCAGCACCGAAAGTCCGCAGCGAACAGTGGGGAGAAGGCGGCAGAGTAGGGCAACTTCCCATTGCGGCGCTGCGGCGCCCTGTCCGAGGGATGATTCTCCAGTGGCAAACACTACCATTGGTCATGGTGCATCGCCGTTACCACAAGCTTATGGATGGTACACTGACGGAGGATGGTACACTGACAGATGTAAAACATGAGCTTCTGTCGAGGGGGCGGTGGGAGCGATGGTGTGAACTTACCGCGCGGGTGTGCCAAATATCGAGTAGGCGAAGAAGAGTACTCAGGTCGAAGATGGTGATAGCACAGGCGAGAGGCGATGCGGAGGTATAGAAAGCCGCAATCTATTGATTTTGTGGCGGAGTGGTCTGTTGATGATATGCAGAGGACGATGCACGAATTCATTGAACTTCTGAGGCGCACCAACACGATCCGTTGAAGCTGCCAAGACAGATCACGGTTCGATTCACGTTCAGCGCACCGACATTGCGTAGATCCCATCACACCTGCAACTTAACCCTCCACCGGCAAACGAACAGCAGCACTCACACTTCCATGGCTTCCCCTACATCCGAGAGGTCAGCTCGCGCGAACAATCCCCGCGGAGGAGCGTCCCCTACTGCCTGCGGCGCCCAGACAGCAGACGTCGCTGCTGCGAACCCCTGCTCGCCACCATATGATCCGCTATTCCGGGCGAAGATGCAGCGGCGGACGCTCGGGGACGCACCGATGCGGAGATGAGGAGGTAATGTGGCGCTTAGTGGGAACCGTCGCGAGGAGTGCAACTGCCATGACAGGAGGCGCCGACGCAAACGGACTCCAGTACGCCTATTGGAGTTGCAGCGAGGCGTCGACGATATGGGCGCAGGGACAGGCATCGAAATTGAATGGGTCGCATGGAACTTGAAGGCGGGGAGCGTGTCGTGGCGGCGCCGCCCCTACGCAGCGCAGCGCTGGTCGAGTGCTCGGCAGAAGAACGAAGATACCAAAATTGATATCAGCGCCACCGCCTGCATCGATCGCAGTGCGCACCTTCTTGTCTAGGTTTGTCGCCTAGTGCATGCCGCGCGCGATCGTAGGCACCACTAGCAGACAAGTAGGGACTGCGCAGGAAACTGAGCGTCCGCCGTTGACAGGATGTTCGCGACTATTCTCAGCGCGGGCCAGCAAGAGTAGTCGTATCGCCCAACGTGGGGCCTGTAGCTGCCGACATTCCTGTGAGCGGACTCGGCAGAGGCCAATGGCGACTGCGTTTGACGCCTGGTAGACGGAGAGTAGAAACACATCGCGCCCGTGTGACCATCCGCATCTCTACAAGGGATATCAGAGCACAGGAAACGCAGAGCATGCAGAGCATGGTGAACACTCAAGCTGTGCGCTGTCGGACAAGCAGCTGTCATATCTGCGGATGCTGTAGCGTTAAGCTCGCCGGGCCCCAGGAAAGCTGGCTATCTCGGGGCGGAGATGTCTGTCATGGCGGTTTACGCGGTTTACGCAAGTCAACAACGCCTGCGTACTACATATATGCAACTGCCATACTATCATCAGTGTGCCACGCAAACACAAAAGCAGCGGACAGCGTACCCGCTAACTCGCAAACGCACGCTCGCCGTCTCCCACTTTCCACACCTCAACACCTCCCTCGCCGCCGACGCCGACGAGCCCGCGTGCCCAGTCCACGCTCAACACCTTTTTCGCACCGTCCCACGCCTTGAAGCTCGCCACGGCGCCCTTCGTGCTGCGTAGATCCCACAGCCGCACCACACCGTCGTACGCCCCCGTCACGATCTGATGCTCCGCCGCCGACGCCGGACCACCTGACACGGGCGCGACAGCTACACACGATGGAGTCGCGGGGTGCGCGAGAGACGCGACGGAGGGTGTTGTCGCGGAGGATGACGCCAAGCGGAGGTCGTACTGGCTGACTGTCCGGTCCGTAGACGCCGCGAGCGCGCTCGTCCCCGTCTGCGTCAGCGCGATGTCCAGGAACGGCTTGTTCGCCGCGGTCTGCGTCGCGCGTCAGAGCTGGCGTACTCACGATATAAGAGGAGAAGACGTACGATGGTGCTGGTGCACAGACCATTCTCCACGTCCCACGTGCGCACCGTCGAGTCCATCCCACAGCTGTATGCAGCGTTCGCGCCCTCCCCGCGACCGAATACGACGCGCGACACGCGCGCGGTATGGCTCTTCAGCACCTGCACGGGCGCCTTGCGTTTTGGGCGCGGCGCGGGCTCGCTGTCGTCCGCGACTTTGCGCCGCTTTTTCCGGTTCTCCCCAGCAGCAGCTGCGGCTTCGTCGAGCGGGACTTCGTCCGTCTCCGGTATTTTCGTATCCCACAGTCCGATGAGGCCATCCCAAGAGGATGTCAAGATGTGTGATGTGCTGGCGGCAACAGAGGACAGCGGCGCAGTGTGTAGGTGCAGGGCCGCGAGCGTCTCTGCGCGCGGCTGGTTGGCCTGGGAGAGGTCGATGCGCGTGAGGCGCGCGGTGAGGTCGTGCGATGCACTCGCGACGAGGAAGGAGTCGGGTGAGTTGGTGGATGAGGGTACAACGCAGAGGGAGGTCGCAGGCGCGTTATGCGCGGGGATGGTCTGAAGGAGCGTTTGCGAGTAGTCGAATATCCGAAGCGCGCCATCGTAGGATGCGGTAAGGAAGTATCTGCAAAGTTACAGTGAGCAAGATGTGTACAGTTATGAAAGGATGAAGTCCTCAGATTTATTCGGCAAGTACTGAACCGCAACACAATAGATAGCTCAGCCCTCCCGATGGACACCCTGGAACCATCGTTCTAGGGTCTACAGAGGGGGACCTTTTCGTCATCTCACGACTGTGCTTGCAAGTTGCGCTTTTTTTAACATGAAATCGCGTGCGCATGATCTGGAGTGACCAACCACAATACTTTGCGATCCGGATGCGGAGAACTCGAGCAGGACGAAGTGTGGGGGAGGAATGAAGGAAGGGACGGCGAAAACACATACCCGAGGACCTGACACGTTACCGAGGAGACCCAGTCTTCGTGTGGAATCGTAGACATGCGCTGGGGAGGCATAACAGACTCGAAGTATTCAATCTCTAGAGTCTCCTCCTGCAATACACAATCATATTAGCTGCACGCTCTGAAGGATTGGGTAGTAAACGCACCTCGCCGACACCATTTTCTGTACACCATTCCGTCAAAGTCCCGCGAAGGATCTCCCCGCGCACCAAAAACTCGAATGGTATGGGCTTCGGCAGAGAGAGTGCCTTGTTCACGAGCTGGGAGAGTTGGTAGCGCCTCCATGAGGCGGGAATCATGAACTTTTGGGTGGGGAGCGGGTAAGGTGTTTGTGTCGTAAAAACAACCGGGTGAGTCGGCTCTGAGGTGGATGTGGACGCCATGGCGAGCAGCAGAAGAACTCAAGGGAGAGGCGTACTACGCATTCAAGATGGGGTTCCTTGCGATGTAACAGCTTTCGGCAACGCGTGCATACTCAATATAAGGTCGTTAGGTGCGTCAGGGCCAGGTGTATGCACCCTCTTTCGCACACATTTCGTTGGGCAGCACTTCGGGGACTAGGGGTACTCGCGGGGAACCTGGTACGGCAAAGCGCGGACGAGGCAGAACACTGACCTTTAAAGGGGAGCACGACAGGATATGTGGGGAAAGGGGCCCAGGACTTGTCTGTATGGGCAGGACTTAGTCTAAGGGTAGAGCCATGACCCTATGCGAGCCGTTCTCACCCAGTTCTGGTAGCGTGAGGACAGTCAGTGGACCCAGCAGTGCTAGAGAATGGAGGAGGCGCACCGTTGATCAAAGCAAAGTCGTCCTTCTTCGCGCCAATGCCAACCGAGTAAATGAGGATGTCGCGTTGGTTCCAGGAGACCTACAAGCATGCCATTAGGCTGAGCAGGTGCAGCGTGCTGTGTGAGAGTAGGGGGCATACAGGCTTGTCCTCGTCTTCCCATCCGACAGCTGAACCGAGGTCGATTTTGGACATGACGGGCGAGTCGGTGGTGGTGGTGGTGGTGGTGGTGGTGGTGGTGGTGGTGGTGGTGGTGGTTCGGGGTGGACAGAGGTGGTCAAGTGCAGATCTGGCGAATGCGGGGTAGAAGAGAGAGGAGAATCACATCCCGGGAAGGAGAGTAGCCGTTCCACTGCTACCGGCGCGGGAACCTTCCCCGGTGCCCGACGCGTCCCTCATGACCCCGCACTGTGACTACCGCGTCCGTTACTGTGATGACGGTGACATAGCGCGTGACCGTGACAAAATATTGTTCTCGATCGCTTCCTTGGTCTCACTCTGTTTCGCTCTCTCCGCGTAAGAGTCCCAAATGGCTGACCACTCCACTGCGAAGTGCGCATACTTGCGTCGTACTTTGGTACATCCTTCGCTTGAATGTGTCTTACGTGTTCACCGCCTATATGCTAAAGGTCAATATTACATTGCGGAACCCACGCTGACCATTCACACTTTCAGGGACCAGCCAGGACGTCGTCAACTTCCGGCAGCTCATGACCGGCGGGAAAGCAGCCTCCGGCCTTCCCAAGTTTGACCCTAACCGCGGAGTACGTGTGCGGCTCATGACGTGCCTCGGCCATGCCAGCTTCGGCCACTTACTCATCAGCCATAAAGGTCCACGGCAGCCAGTCTATTGAGATTCTGAAGCCTCTCCCCGCAGTCAGTGGGGACGGCTGGAAGCTCAAGAAGCGCATCGTCGCGGTCAGCGAAAACAGTACGCGCTTTCTTCTACTTCCCAGAGCATATTCTCTTTATTTACGTATCTCCCACACAGAGTCGGGGATCATCGTTGAGAACGAGGTATTGCTCGTGGACGCGCAGGGCACGCCATATGCTAAGCTGCACGTGCGTTTCTCTCCCTGCCCGTCCTACCCACTTCTCTCCGCTGACGCTGCGCACCCAGAGCGGATCCTTCAACCTCGGCGCGAAGGCGACGGGCTCGAACTTCTCGAAGCGCATCGGGAGCGCGCCGCAAGCAACGCCCCCGCCCAAGGACCGCAAGCCCGACTGGGTCGTGCGCGACCAGACGACGCCCGAGCAGGCCGTCATCTACCGCCTGAGCGGCGACTACAACGAGCTCCACATCAGTGTGTACCCTCTCTCGTCCCCCCCTCTCACCCCTTCCATAATTTTCCTTTCCTCTGCATCCTTCCCTACATATATGCTGACATCCATGATAGACCCGGCGATCGGCGCGGCGACAGGTTTCGGCGGCGTGATCCTGCACGGACTCGCGACGTTCGGCTTCGGCGCGCGCGCGATCATCTCGGCCGTCGGCGGCGGGGACCCGCGCTCGCTGACGCTGTTCGGGGTGCGCTTCACCGCGCCCGTGAAGCCGGGCGACGCGCTCGAGACGTCCATCTGGGAGATCGGGCCTGCGAAGGCGGCTGGGCACGAGGGCGAGACGGAGGTTGCGTTCGTGACGACGAATGTTGCGACGGGCAAGGTGCGTTCGGGGCGAGCGGGAGTGAATAGAGTCGGTACTGATGGTGTTGCAGGTGTGTTTGGGCGCGGGCGTCGCGTATGTGAAGAAGGCGGAGAAGAGCAAGCTCTGAGCGTAGCGCGGCGCCGTCGGCTCGGTCTCTTGCATTCTCCTGGACGGTGTGTAAGATGGATATGTACTCGCTTGGATACGGATTCTCTGTGCGGGGCGAGGGCGCGACGGGGAACAAGTGCGGAATGTACACAGGACAGAAATATATTTCGTTGGACACGAATGCGCGTGGGCTGCGAGGCGAGGGCGTGGCCGAGATGGAGTTGTGTGTGCGCTCGTCCGCGGCGTGGCGGTGCGCGGTGGCGGTGCGCAGGAGTACGCGAGCGGCGTTGGTCGAGGAGGTGCGGGGGTGGATCTCGGCTGGCGGGTGTCTTGCGGACGCTGAGCTAGATCTCCCAGATGGAATTGTGTCCTCTGCATGAATTCTGGGGACTATGTAGACGCCGTGCGTTCATTGTGGGGGGTGAGTACTCGGAGGAGGGAGCAGGAGGCACTTGGACGTGCTCAGAGGACTTCACTCGATTATCGTTCTGTGGGGCACAAAAAACCTCGAATTATTGGAGTGCATCTACCGCACTACAGGGTACTCGAAAAACGCGCATCTACGCCCACAAGAACGACCCAGAAACCACTTCGCGCACCCCGCCCAGAACGGGCGCCTATTCCGGCACTGCTCGAAATGGCCAAGTCCGAATCGCGTCGTGCCTCCCGCCGCGTCTCTGCTCTGCACCACGACCACGACCGGCCTCGCCTGCTCGCTCTCACTCCCAGGCTCGTTTCTGGCAACACTCTGCCTGTCTGGTACATGTCTGCATCGCACGATCAGCCAGACACCGTAATTCGCGCAAGACAAAACTGACGCTCACCCTGCCGTCGCTTAGCCAGGAGACCGCGAGAGCTCGCGGTGGCCCGCGCTCGTCGTCCTAATTCGGGGACGCTGAATGCGTGCTCCAAGCGGGAAGAGCCGGCCGCGATGCGGGAGAGGTGTCGCACGCGGGACGGAAGCTGCTCGAGAGAGGTATGTCACACGCCGAGGCTCTTGCCGTACCCTGGGTGCAAGACCGTCGTATCGACTTCACCAGGTGATCTTGCGAGCATCCGCCGAGGTTCGTCGCACCTCCAAACGGTGCTCGCGGAGATGTAGCCACCAGGCACCGTCTTGAGGAACACTGCACGAAGGACACCGTGTTCTCAGCGAGCGAGTCGCCCGTACACTCCGCGCGAGCTTTGCAGCTTCTTCGACCAGGACAGACTGCCGTGCCGCGCTTCCGGGAGACGCTTTACAGGCGATGGGAGTGCCCGCGCGACAGACTTGTCCGCTCGCGGCGGCTGCGTGGGACAGCCACATCCTTCTAGGCCGGCCGAGTGAGCATATCACACACGAAACAGGGTATGTCGCGCACCTGGGATACTACTGGTACCGTTCGGACTGATTCTTCGCAGCGCTCACGACCTCGCAGACTTGCACTCCATCCGGCACTGCGCGGAGATCTGAGCGAGAGATCTGGATGCCGGTGTCGTTGCGGGTGCCCTAGTACTCAGGGCTTTTGCCCGTGGAGTCCGCTTTGCGCGACCAGGGGGACAGGAACACCAGCGCCCGAAGGTGTGAATCGCCCACCCTCCGCTGCAGAGGGGAAGACTGCCAACGGAGTCGACCGCAGCCGTCCTCCGCGCCACACTACTGGGACACACTTGACAGGTGATGGGAGCGCCCGTACAACGTCGCGCGAGAGACCTGACGGTGGGTGCGTGCTGCAGGAGTATCATTGTCACTTCAATGAGTACCGTACGCGTGAGACGGAGGCATGTTGCGCACCTGGTAAGTTTAATACCATTTTGACGAATTCTTCGTCGTGTGAGCCCGCACAGCGTTGATTTCGCGACCTCGCACGCGAGCCACCGGTGTCGTCGCGGGTACCCCAGCACCCTGGACTCGAGTTCGTGCCGCGAGTGCAGAGTCCGTTCTGTTCGACGAGTGCGCAGACGACACCATACCTGGAAGTGCAACTCGCCAGATGCGACGCTGTGGCGAGATGGGCAACTGCGTCGACCAGGACGGTCGTCCGCGCCGCACCCCGGGGGCGCCTGTTCCGAGCTTGACCAGGAGATGGGAGCGCCCGCGTGGCGGCGCTGCACTCCTCAGCTCGAGTCCGCCACGCGAAGCGGGTACATCCCCCACCCGTCGTCCGCGCAGGACCACTTAGGGGAGCAGCGGGATCACTTCCAGGCGTGTCCGTGAAGGTGAGTGGTACATTGTCTTCTTGCGAGCTTCGACCGGAGCTCCGCAGGCCGCGCATACGAGATCATCGATGTCGCCCGCCGTAAGTCCGCTCGCCTCGCTTCGCTCTCCATGTTCCGGGCGTGTGCTCGGGAGATCTTCCAGCGCACCCGAAAGTGATGCAAGAGTTGAGCATCTCCGAGTACCCCGCTCGAGACCGTGACTTCGCCGCTCGTGCTGCTCGTGCAAGGGCAAGCACGTCCTTCTTCGCGGGCCGGAACGGGCACAAAGCTGAGCGGTAGGTTTTGCACCCGCAAGCGGCAAGCGGGACCGCAGATCCGTCGTACGAGGTCCCCGGTGCCGTCAACCGTAAGTTTCCCCGTCGCCTGACCCGCCATGCACCGCAAGTGCGTTTGGGAGATGCTCCTGCACTCTCCTGGACAAGAAGGGGTTCTCTGGCGACATCGACGCCCCAGAGAGCTGCGTGCGAAAGCGATGGGCTTTACCGAGTGCCCACCCATGGATGAGGATTGCTCGCCATCGGTGCCGCAGGAGAAGCTTCCTGCACGCGCCCGGATGCGGTTGTCCTGGAATTCTCGCCGCCGTGAGCGGTACGGCTGCGAGTCGACAGTAGAGAGGTGGGTGGAACTGTAGTGCGGGGGTGGTGACACAGGTCAGCTCATTCTGCTGTGCATGCTGTGAAGCTCACCTTCGTGTAGATTACACTATCGGGGTGTGGTGTCGAGCACACGCCGTGCTCGCAAAGTGCCGCCAGCTCCCCGAACACATGCAGCGTCATGCCACACAATGTGAGGCACACCGTGTGTGCGTGTTTTGTCCAGGGCGATTCGTGCGGCCTCGTGAGTCGTCTGGCCGTTGTCTTGCAACATGGTCTTCATGCTGGTAGGGCTGTCGTCTTCAAGTGATGAGGGGAGCTTCAGAGACGAGCGGCGAGCGGTGAGATTAACGTACCAGATCTGTTGTCGTATGTCCCAAACCTTCTGTACCGCAGTCTCTTGCAGTCTGGTTAGATCATGTTCAGCCCCAGTGTTGTACGTTTGCGAGCTGCGTAACTTTAACTTACCGCCACTGCTTTGTGTTCCCTGCGAGACCTCCAGCACGGTGAGTGGTGCACGTTGAATGCATTCCTGCAGTGCAATAACGATAGGGAGGATGTGCCAGATGCGGGTGAGACGGTGATGATGCCGACATGGGAGGGAGGTGAGAGAGTACGGGCAAGGAAGTGGAAGAGGATGCAAGCCACGTCCGTGAGTCAAACGACACAGGTGCGTGGCCAGCCCTGGACGATGTCCGTCTAGACACGGAGCGGAATTGTCCTGCACCGCGTGTGGACACCGCCGGTGGGAGGGTGATGGCAAGCGGCTACCGTCGCGGGGGCCTCTGCAATTGGATCGCGCTCGTTCTGGACTCGTTGCTACCCGCTCGCTTGTAGCATATCACCTCATTTCTTTCCGCTGGACCAATCACACAGTGGCGGATTGTGGGCGGTGTGATCAGGCTTTACTCAGGAAATGACAATATTCAGGGTGCTCCGTGATTTATTCTTGCACGGCCTTGATGTCCATCCCCGCTCATTTTTTGGCGGTATCTCCGGTCGTGCCAAGCTTCTTGGAGCTCGGCCAAACACCCTGATTGGTCTCATTCAACCAGAAATGAGGGGAGCAAGAATAGCAGTGTGTGCAGCCTTAGTATGCTCCTCACACTTTTATTCCTGCCCAACTTCACTTCTGCCCCTCATATGATTACTGTACTTACAGGGCAAGATACACGCTGTTCTGATAAAAAATCTGGGGACCATTTATGAATAAACACGAACGGCTACAGTCCGTCGCCAATCTCAGATGCTTCAGAGGCGGTTCCATGCCCGCCGGCGCTCTCGGCTGACCCCGCAGTCGAGATCTGGGCAGATGTCACCCTTGCGCAGGGCACTAAGCAATACTCAACGCCGCAGGAATGTGCAGCCATGCCGTCGTCGAGCCAGCTATGGCCATGGAGGGCATCCAAGGGGTGTGCGTGCGTGAGCAGGCGTAGTGGGAATGGTTATCAGGCTGCGCGCCAGGCTGCAGCTGCCTATTCTGGTAAGGAGGTTCAGAGGCTAGAGCCGCCGTGGCTTAAGCCGTTCGTTCGTTCTCGCCTTCGCTCTGGCTCACCCAGGACATCCACTTTTGACCTCACACTCCTAGATCTGCCCTGGCCTGTATCTCGGAGACTCATATCTGCTTGCATCTGGTGAGGTACCCGAGAACCCAAATATCTGGCTCAATCTCAGACCAGCGCATGCTCGAGTCGGTGCCAGTGGTTGCCAAGGCTCGCTATCTCGAATGTATCTGCCGTGTTGGCTGCCTTTGCAACATCCAGCACTGCGCACACCGGTGCGCTACGGTCTACTAAATAGCATGATGTAAACATTCAAACCAAGATGTCCGGAGACCCCACAGAAGTGCACAGGTGACCCGGTAGACACCTGCGGCAAGCAGTCTGGTAATCAGCGCGTGCTCTCGTGGCAACTGTCTGTCTACTTACATCGCCTAGCACTCCTGCTAAAGATTCTGGATACATGACGACACTGATATGCGCATGCGCATTTTTTGATTGCCATTGGAAGCAGGGGGATCCACCGGCGGCGGCCTCGACCGGGCATAGTCAATCTCGCATGGTGTAACTCACTGGGAATCACGCCGCTTTCAGTACCCTCCCGCATGGCATGCGCACGTCTGGTACACAGTGCTGTGTACTACTAGAATAATGTATATGGCTTATTTCCGAGCTCAGATAGCACAAATGTCGAAGCACATGCAGTCATTTGCAGTGGAATATGCTTATTTAGACGGGGACGGCCCCAAGAGTCTGTGGGCCGGGACTACATGCTACACTCGTTCGGGCCCAGGATATCGCTTGAGCTCGCAGGCTTTCTCTGCTCCGTATGACACACGGACATATATTTGGGCACAACTGTCCGGGCTTGGACTCGTGAATGTAGTTCAGTACGCACCCACGTTCTCCGCTGCATACTTATTTGGTCACCCTGACGCCGGGAGGCTGAGGATCGTCCTGGCCATCTGTGCAGTGTAGGCTCTCCCGGCGCCGCATTGGTGCATGGCACATCTTGACGACCTTGGGCCTTCTGCCGTCGATTCAAAAATCTGGTCTTTTACGGCTCCAGTGTGTTGGTCCCGAGAATATATGCTACAATGGGAAGTGACTTGCGAGCCGCGAAAGCGTTCGTGGTGTTCCATACTCTGGCAATGTACTACGGCGCACCCGCCGAGACTATTTTACCATGTACGTGTCTTCTAGCACGCTCGACCGGCTGCTTTGCGCGCGATGGGGCGTTGCACGAGGTCGTCACAACTGGTCCTTTCTGTACACTACTCGACGGGCGAGTACGATGATGGTGGTACACGCAAATTGCGAGGCGGCCGAGGTACGCGCACATCGCAAACTCGCTTTCTTCGTGTTCTCGTACGATCGCCCCTCGATGTAATCGCGCCTGATGCGCCAAGAATTATACACGATCGCGGTGGTGTCCTCACGAGATATATTCACTGCTGCTACAGGTACCAAACATGCACGGACGGCGAGGATGGTTGCCCGCTGGGAGGCACTATGGGCACTGGGGCATCCTCTAGCACACTGCCCTCTCTGCCAACCTGTCCGTCTCGGCCGAGGCAGACGAGCATGCCCTTGCCAACACAGTGACTAGCCCGCCATGGCGAGGCCTGCGCCCGTGCCCGCTCGAGACGAGGGCGGTCCCCGTGTGCTCGCGTACCGAGCGCCGGCCGTCCGAAGCGAATGCAACCCCCATCTACGAGTCGAGACCGGATGGTGAAACGCGTCGCGCCGCGTATCTGTGGTTCTGCCACCCGCGGCGCATCCGTGCGCATCCGTTCCCACTCACCCCGTCTCCATCGGCTGCCCGTGGCGGGCTGTGGTTGGTGCACCGTCGAGCGGGCTCGGGCTGTCCCTCCGGTCCTCTCCTAACATCGGGGGCTGTCTGCATAAGCAGCTGCTTCCGTGCGACGGAGGAAGGCTTGGCTCCGGTGCACAGTCGACGCACGGACCACGGTATGGGAGGGAGGGAGAGGACGGCCCTAAATCACGCTGAGTATAAGTACGTGGTCGCATCGGACGCGGGCACGCGCATACTCCTCTTCCTGCTCTCCCCGCCTCCTCTGCTTTCTGCCGCCTTGCTGCGATATCTATCTATGCATGTAAACGGTATGTCGGTATCGTGAGGGCGTCCCAAGACAATCACTGACCTGCTGATTTAGAGCTCCTTCCAACATCTCACCCACTGTCTGAGGCGCGCGAGGAGTACGTCGACAGGGCGACCGTTGACACCTCAATATCTACCACGAGGTGAGTGTTTAACCCACAGCGCGCGCGGCTTGTTCAGCGCGTTCGAACACCCTTCAACACCGGGTCGAGCATGCGGGCACATACTGACCTGCCCTTCATAGACCTGTGCAGTGGACGCACGGCAATACCCCGCGCCCACGTTCTCACTCGAGAGGCCCGGCTTGGGGACGTGCGAGTGTGCGCCGTAAGCGACGCCGCGTTCACTCCGCGCGAAAGCGTCCAACGGACCTGGAGAAACAGCGCTATCAGTGAGTCGCCCTCGGCTATAGACAACGAGGCCCTGACCGATACGATCCCGCAGTGCACCCCTGACGGTGTGTACGCACGGTACCGTGGTGCCCGCATGCTCTCGCCTTGCCAGTGCCTCGGCCGCGCAATGGGGATCCTCGGGGATGGTCAGGACGCTGAGGAACTCGATGGCGAGTGCCTCACTCGTGTCTGGATGGTAGTCGACTGCTCACTGCGGCAGGATTCATCGATTGGGACGGTGTTCGTTCGCGAGCTGGACATCCCGGGAGATGAGTGCGTCGTTCCGGAACGCAGATGCGGTACGAAATGCTGAGCTCCCGTACACAGCGCGGACGTGGTGTAGAGGCACATCCCCCGCGGCGCCGTGGGTAAGGGGCGCTCTGCGGAGATCGTCACCGGCGAGCCGGCGGCGTGGCGAGGTGGACAAGGCGTCGGAGTTGCGGGAGGCATGGGATGGAGTATTGTACATATGTATCTAGTCAGCGTAGGTACCGTGCGCGAATCGGGCGCAGCTGGTCGTCCTCACGGAGGGCGCGGCGCGGAGTGCAGACCGCCGCGTACATCGCGCCGCTGACTGTTGACAGGATCGCGGGCTCGAGCGTCGCCCTCGTCCTGGAGTCGGAGAGCCGGCCTCGACGTCGTCTGCAGTCGACCGCGCGCCGAATCGCGCTCCCGAGGCCGTCTGACACAACCTGGTGAGTGATCCCCCGCTCCGCGCCAAGCGACACCCAAACGCTCACCCCTGCAGATCCTCCGCCGCAGGCACGTCGCGCGCCACACGGCGTCCGCGCCCTCGCACTCTCGACAGCCTCCGGGCCACGTCGCCTGATCCGCAAATAAGGGTGAGTGCGGCCGTCCCATCGTGCGCGCAGCAGCACAACTGACCTCCGCCGTTACTCCCAGGGTGCGTCGACGCCGTCGGGGGAAGCGGGGTCCATAGATCTGTAGATAGTATGTACACAGGTGAGACGGGCGAGGCGGGCGCGGCGACGAGCCGTCCCGTCTCCTTCGCGCGAGCAGACGGGTGACGTACGACCGGCGGAAACGGCCTCCTCGCTGCACGACGCCTCTCAAGCGCGTGGACGAGAGACCAGGGAGCTCCCAGCGAGGCCGGCCGTTCGTGGCGGACTTCGCGGGCGGCGTATTCCGGGCCTTGCCTGCGTATGCGGACGACCGTCTGCCGTCCGGCAGCACAACGCCGAGCGCGCCGCGTACCTAGCACGACCGCAATGTCTGCGCCGGGCTCGCGTCGGGCCTCCGAGTCCCTCTCCGGGCCTGCCTCCGCGTTCTGTAACACCCGCCTCCGCACCCATCTCCCCGACCGCGCGCAAATCAAACTCCCTGGACGCGTCCACACGCGGCGGCGCACCACGCACACCGTCCCCAGGGACGCATGTGCCGAAGCACGCTGCGGGCGGACGTCTGTGCGGGCGGGCACGCGCGATTCCGGCCACGCGCCCATGAAATGCGCCGGAACGGCCGCGATAACTTGTCCCCCGATCACGTCCAGACTGCCCATGGGGGTGCGGGGTGGTGCATGGGTGCGGTGGGTGCGCTTTGGAGGTGTTTGGGTGCGACGTCGGGGCGTGAGATCGGCGTCTTTCGTGGCGCGCGGCGTTAGGGGAGCCGCCGTGCACGATGGCGGGGACGTGCGTGGTGACGTGGGATGCGTGTGGGAGAGTTGGGGTACGCCTGGCGCACTGGGCTCGCACCTCCCGGGGGCGCAGGAGAAGGTGGGGGCATGCGCGGTGTTTCGAGGTCAGCAATGAAATCGCCCGCGACGACGCGGATTTTTTGTCCTCCGATGGCGCTGGAAATCTCTGGGTGTATGCGCCGGGGTGCACGGGATTGTGCCGTCGTGTTCAACAGGCGTTCTGGGAGCCGTCGGCACGCGAAGTCGGGATCTTCCGGTGAGGTAGCTCCACCGCCGCCTCTCCCATGCGCCCGGCGAAGTTGCACGTGTTGCGCGCAGTGTCTTTCGGTAGGGAGGCGTCTTGGTTGTATATGTTCTGCTGAGAGAGGCCGGGATTCGGATAGCGGCGGCGGCGACTCGAATTTCTGGTGTCGGGCGCTGAGAGAAAGCGACGCCGTCAGCGCAGTTCGTGTTCACAGCGGCTGGGAACGCACCAGGCGCGAGAGCGGTGCGTTGTGCACCGCATCATCGGGTGCTGCAGCGCGCCGGCACTGTTGGGCGACAGACAGATGGGCGGGAGGGGCATCCGAGGGCGCTGCGGGCTGCACGGCGTACCGCACAGACGACGGCGACGGCGTCTTCGTGGGTGCCAAGGCGCCATCCTGGGCAGACGGCGAGCCTCTCGCGAGCGTGCGAAGCGGGGGCGTGGCGGCATGCGGGTGGCTCGTCGTGTTCTTGTGGGTGCGCATGCGGAGGCGCCCATGACCATTCCGGCGCCAAGATGTGCGCGCTGCGCGAACGCAGGCAGTGGTGGGACGACAGTGGCTGTATGCACATTATGGGCATCGAAAGCTGCCCGGTTTATGCATGTAAAGTCTGCGAAATGCTGCGAGAATGTTGTTTCAGGTGCGTGGGACCTCTAGACGGGTACTGTCAGCTGGGTCTCGGTCGGGAGAGGCTGTAAACGCACCCGAGGCGAGGCTTCGACGCATCCACAACGTGGTGCATGATGCAGGCCCACCGACGAAGATAGGACGGCGGAATCGACGGCGGGGCTGGTTACAATGGGGAGAGTACGGCGGACGAATCATGGGCACGCCGTCATCGTGCATGCACCCAAGCGTTCGGGGCGACGTCCCGAGCGTTCCATCACAGTGTGGGGCTGTGGGCGACGATGAGCACGACAGATATACTGGTGATGTGAACGGAGCGCACGGGCGTCGACCTGGACTGCTGCCGTGGGCGTTAGCGGCTGGACATGGGTGCTGGATGGCAGATGCGCACCTTGTGTGAGATGAGCTGTGCACGAAACGGGCGGACGGGAGCTGGGGAGGACTCGGAGGGAGGACGGGAGTGGGGAGGACGGGGCGGGCAGGGGAGTGAGCGAGGCGTAGGATGGCAGGCAAGGAGGTCTTTGAGTGGTAGGGCACATCGATGGTGGTACAGAGAGAGCAGCTCACAGCACGGTGGCGCGTGCTTCGTCGTGCGAACGATCTTCTCCCTGCGCGGTAGAGAGAGTGCTGTCGACGAGCTGAGAGAACCAGCGGGCACAGCGAAGACGACCGCTCTGAGGAAGAGATGACGCCATCTGGCCAGCAGCAGCAGAGACGAGAGCAAGGTCCCCAAACGAGCAGACTGCAGCGCGAAACCAAGAATGCGATCGAGAGCCGTCTTGCGTCATCGTCACGCGTTTCGTCACGATCACGGACGCGGTAGTCACAGCGCGGGGTCATGAGGGACGCGTC